CCTCCTGCTCTAAAGGCACAATGTACATGGGTGTTCTGGAGGATAGCTTTTCATATTTTAATGGCAACCAATTAATCACATTAGCTAAATATATATTTAATACATTGGATTCAATCCTACATAAATTATCAACATACTGGGTTTTTTCTATAACATACCCTAGTAGCATGCATTTATATAACTATGTGAAAATTATGCTTCCTTTAAAATTACTGCCCAGAGAAAGAAATAGTGCAATTTCACTATGTAGAGATTCCTACAGTATTAAATACAAGTCATGTCCACACAAAAGCTTAATGCGCAGTAGTAATGAGCTACTGCACAGTAAGCATCAGTAGGCAACTGTGCTATACTGTGCAGTAATGCTAGTTACTGTGCAGTCATTTAGTACTTGGTTATGCAAGTACTAAATGACAGCACAGTAACAACTGTGGGAACTTTCAAAGGAGCCTAAGGGAAATAGGACCCATCCTCATTATTGTCCTTTGAAAATCCTGGCATCACATTTGCAAAGCCAAATGCCTGTATATAGAAATAACCACATAGTGGTTAACCACATATAACCCCAATTGATTGTTTTAATATCCCTTGGCCCTTTGAGGTAACTTCAGGATGGAGGCCATATGGGTTCACATTACCGCTCAGCTCACTGTCTCTTTGCTGAGCTGTATTCTGAAGGCTTTGTAGTTATATGTGTGTATTATTTTAATGTTAGGAAATGTTTGGGCACATTAGCAACATTTCCATGTGGTGTTTTCACTAATTTCATAAGAGGGATGATGTGTACCCCATCTTTTGCAGTCTGACATACCTGTTTCTTGGCCTACTCTGTCCCTATACAGGGAATCTTGGAAGAATAAAGCAGATACGAAGAAAATCTTCTCCCCTGATTTTTACCTTGTATACAACACTCATTGAAGGCCTTTTATCTTGAGTGTTTCAGTGAACTTCGGTTTTGATTTGACTCAGATAAAGCCCTTCCAAAATTGCATAGTTACAAAATTGTAAATCCACACAGTATTTTGCATGAGAATTTTCACTTTCTATGCAAGGTAAACCAGGTTATGCTGTTCATCAGGACGTAGGAGTTAGGAAGGGTTACTGTATAGTACAAAGAAAGCTTCATAGGAAAATGGTTCGTCTTGCAGATCTCCATAAATGCCTTAGGATATGGCATCATGGTATGTATATCCAATCACTCCCTGATTAGGTTATGTATTTACCAAGTCTAGCAGCTTCAGAGTTGGACATGAAACTCCCTATTTTAATGGTCAAGTGTAGATCTTTTTCTTCCTTTTTCTGATTAAAAAACTGGGAAATTCCATACAAAATGTTCCAATTGATATGTGTAAAGTTTTTAACACCTGAATGATTAAACAGTCAAGTGAAGAAGTACCGGATTTACAGCTGCACATACAGCTGTACAACAGTTTAAAGTCCCTTCTTGCAAGTTAGGGTAGGCTTTAATTACGTGACAATATGCTTTTCTTCAAGCAGTACAAAGTACAGTTCTTTTCTGCAATCTAGGAATAAAAACATATAACATTTTGTCATCTTTTTTATTTTTAAATTATATTAATTCTTTGTTGGTATGAGAGAGATCTTCAAACGGCATTGTTCTCACTTAGTCTTATCTGACCAAAGAGTCTCTTCCCTGTGCAGTTACTACAACTCTTTACCTTTCCTAGTATCGCTTCAAACTTATTCCCATTGAGGTCTTCTGTCTAGGCTTTGTTATTTTTCCCCAGTCAGATTCCAGTAATGATGGAGTCTTTCATATGGCACAGCTATCCAATTCCATCCATAGGTTCCATGCAAGGCAAGGTTGGTCGTGTTAATGAATTTTCGGATTCACTAGCTTCAGTCTTTATTATGCTTACATCCAAACAAAAAGCATACCCAAAATGTCTTCTTGAGAATTATCTGCCTGATGATTTTCTACTGGTTTTAACATAAACTTAAATCCTTTGATCACATAAAGTTTTTTTTCACACTTTCTAAAATCAGATGAATATATATGCATTACTGAAAAAATGCACCTTTGCATAATGTTCAGCTGGTTCTGAAAAACTGAAAACAGGGCTTTTGAATAGAATGGCCTTGTCAGGTTTAACCATAGAGTTGCTAATGGCAACACTATAATTAAAGCATTAGTGTGGAATGCTGTCTGAGACAAAAATTAATAGAAATCATTTTGGTTTCAGTCATTCAGGTTTTTTCCTTTAGTTACTTGAAGAAAACCCAAGTAGATCAAATACTGTTAAAAATGTGTTTTGTGTGTGGCCTGGCCAGCATGTTCTTGTGGTTTGCTTTGCTTGCTCTTCTAAGAATAATGAGTTCATGAACATGCCTTATGCTTTGTTTGTGGATGATTGCCACCTTTATTTTTAAGGAGAATGAGGATAGATTTTGCTATATGCTAAGCTGTAGCATTTTGAAAATAACAATCATCATGTATTGGTTTGCTAGCACCACTAGGCTAGGCTTATATCTGTAAAATATTGGTTTGTATGCTGGATTGTCATTTAAGAAGATGTGGTGCAGCAAAATGAATTTAATCAAAGTCAGTCACTGGTGTGGTCTGCTGAACACGTGGTGGTGGTCCATGCTAGTTTTCTTCCTTTTCAGCTGCTAAATTACATCAGAAGAAACCATTTTCCTGCCACTACCTTTTCATGTAAAGAATTGCTGTAGGTGTCACGCAATTGTGAATAGGTGGGGGGGAGGAGGGAGGCTGACCACATGATTGTGACTGGGAAAGAAAGTATCCAGGATCTCTTTATTAAAATGAAAAAAGGAGGGAGGGGGAAATTATTTAAGATTGTTATTGATGTACCTCCTTCAGTCTTCCAACAATATCCATCTCATTGGTTTTTTTGTCAGCTTCTTACATAACACCTTTCTACTGCCTTCTGGGTCTCTGACATGTGTAACCCCCACCCTGAGCTAATTTGTAATGCTGGTAGTTCATAAAGGTTTATGCTGAACAAAGCAAAAGAAGACCTGACTGAAGCTGCTAGATATTAATATGACATCAAACGATAATTAATTACATGATGCTGCTTTATGTCCTGGTGTAACTTAAGGGAAAAAGAGAATGGGAACATGGTTTGGGTGCCGATTTTGGTGGATGAAACTCTGGTTTGAAAATTAGGCTTTTATTCTGGGAAGTAAAATAAGAAGATAGAGCAGGGGATTTTAGATAAACAGAGGAAAGCTGTCTCTCAGCCCACCATAAGCAGCACTGCATACATAAATATCTCCCTGGCAACAGCTGTTCCTGCAAAGTGGTGGATTATTACATAATGGTGTTGAAAGATTAAGGGGAAATTAAAAGAGAAAATCATGATCTGTGGCTTTCTTTTTGCCTTTTATCCAGTGAAGCGCTGCAAAAGCTACATGTATATAATTAGAGAGGAGGGGCTCAAGGTCCATGTGTACTATTTTGAACATTACATAAAATATGAAGCCATTTGAATATATCCCAAATCCCAGACTAAAATGTCTGAATGCGTGTGTCTGCCTGCGGAGGAGTTTGAGATGACTTAAAACACGTAGGCTGAGATTTTCTGTAGCCACTTTCCCATGGAATTTGGCTTCCAATGGCTGTGAAAATCTCTCATCTTAAAGTTCAGCTACCAAAAATAGAAGGAAGGTATAAAACTTGTTAATTAAAGAGATTTTGTGACGTTTATGTTAACTTGTGTAAGGAGTTATAAGTTTGTATTAATGCTGTATATCTGCGTAAGACAGTGTCAAATTTTACTCTCATCTGAAAAAGTATTTTTTTACATTTTTACCTAAACTAGAGAAATAATGCAGATTACATACAGTAAAAAACATCCTTATCCCATTATGATTTCAGAAGAGAAGGAAGATGAATTTCAGTTACTGCGCAGTAACTGCACATGTGTAGACACACCCACTTTGGACCAGATCCTGCTTAGTCTTATAAAACCTAAGTAATCATGCCTCCAAAGGGTGGCTTCAGAGGTTTTAGGTACTCTGACCATGTCTACATGAGCGGCAGACTGCACAGTTGTTACTGCACAGTCATTTAGTACTTGCTTATGCATAAATGACTGCAATAACCAGCATTACTGCACAGTACCGTCGGCTGCACATTTTTTCCAGTGCTACTGCACAGTAGCAATGAGCTGCTGCACAATAGCTTGTTGTTACTGCACAGTAGCATCGCCGCACGGTTAGTGCCTGGCAACGCCACTGTGCAGTAGCAACACGCTACTGCACAGTAGCTCATTGTTTCTGCGCAGTAGCATCTTGTGTGGACGCACCCTGCATGTACGTTAGGTACCTAGGAGGTATGCATATACTTAGGAGGTATAGGTAAGTGCCTTCAGTGAACAAGTCAGATAACATGGAGGTGCCACAAACTAGCCAATTGTAAAAGCTAAGCACAGTGTCCATCCCTCTATGTAGTTAGGCATTTGGCTCCATTCATACAGGATCCAGAATGTCTACTCTGACTTCTAAGGGTAGTTGCCTGATTGGTGATGGGGATATCTGCCTGTTACCTAATGGGTCAAAGCACTTCCCCAGGAAGTAGGAGAAGCCACTACATTTTTTAGCTTAATGCTCTTGTTATGAAAAATATTTGTGGTGAAGGAGCCCTGGGAGATTGGGCTTATGTTTAAGTAGAATGTAGGAATTTCCCCTGTCCCAATGTGGATTGGAGTACAGCTTAGTCAGAAACAAAGCACCTGGGTGATCAAATTCAATTACTTCTGAGCCTGCTGTAGATGCCTAAAGAAGTTTGCAGTCCAAAAAGGAGGTGTGAATGAATTTAGGCATCTAACACGTTTTAGGGCTTTTTGAACTGGCCTATGTTGATCAGCCTTTGAGATTTGGAAACAAATTCCATTGAAGTCCCACTGAGGTTCCTATGGAACTAATCTGTATTTGGTCCTTAAAATCACAGAAAGTTCCTGAAAATTTGCAGCTATCCCTGAGAGTACACGGCATGGGAGCATAAAATAAACTTTTCTTTCCAGGACTTGTGTCTGTTCAGGGGGCAGACATCGTAAGCCTGGAGATCTTGCTTGTCTACTTGTCTCTGCTGCCAGTTTTGTCCATTTCGTCTGCTATACCAACCAAATCAGAATGAACTAACTTAAGGGGAGAGTATGCATCATCACATTGTCCACTGGTAATACCATCATGGTGGTATTAGCTTGGAAGAGCCTAGGGTACATTATAGCTAAATCAGTGAAGAGATTCTCGCCAAAATTCAGTTTTCCTATATTTCTTGCAGCTTACTTGGGAATGTCCAAAACTCAAACTTTGCAAAAATTAAAGACTTCAAGAAGAAATAGGGGCAATAGCATGTTCTTTGTTTTAGTGATTGTATTCATGTTATAACATCCAATTATATTAGAAATCCTATATTCACATAATACTGGGTACATCTACACATGCTCTTAGCGTGCAACAATAAATTCCGGTCAAATGGGTACCTAATTCATGTATGTTTAACTATCGGTGTAGTACTAGAGTCTGTGGAGCATGCTGTCTGCGAATTTGGGGCAGGGCAACTAGATGCTCCAGTTGCCATAAATGCAGTGTGTTTCAAAGACCAATCTAGTATAATCGGGATTTTCAATTGCTTCCCTCCCATAAAATTGTCCAATGAGTTTTATCCTTTTCATGTCCTCTGTTGTGGAATCTCTTTGACTACTATTCAGCTCATAAATTCAGACTTTCTTTTTTGCTGACCTGTTTTATTGAATTGGATCACCTTCCATTGTTTTAATGGTATAGTCTGGAACATTTCCTAATGTGCTATGTGGTAGCATGGCAGATTTTGGGAGATACAGTGAGCAAGGAGAGAGAGAGGTGAGGCATTAGGGCCCAAGCCAAGCAGAGCTGGATCTGACAGTGGCAGGGAGAAAGAGAGGTAAATAATGTTTGATTTTAAAATGATTCAGTTAAACATTTACAAATTTGGTTGGTTTCCACCAAATGGTTCATGTTGGAAACATGATTCAAAAGGGAAGCTGAATTTTCTTGGCTTTTTTTTCAAAAAGACTTTATTGTTATTATTCAGAGCGACTTTTTTATCTCAAAATTTCCTTTTTTAAAATCCCTGACTAAACATGAAACATCTTGTTTGCATTTAGTTTGGGGTCCAAGGCAAACTTTTATTCACTCTATAACTTTTTTTGGTGGGGGAGTAGGCGAGGAGGGGATGACATCTGCAAACCCAAAGTACCAATGATTTGCAGAGTTCTATTTAGAAGTTCTCATGGCAGAAAAGTCAGTGCATTTGCAGGTGTCAGTAGAGCTACACAAGGGCTTACATCTGTAGTCGAGAGTTAACTTTCTTTGAGGAACGCGTGGGAGTTTCACTGTAGAATGAGCCAGCAATCCTGTCAACCCCAAGCATTCCAACATTAAGTTTGAATTTCAAAAGTTAGGAGTTTGCTCTACAACTGATTACATTTTAAAAAAAAGAAATTAATACAGTTTTATCCTTGTTTAGAATGATGCAGCTGTATATAGTGTGATCTTTAAATATGATACGCCCCTCACATTACCTCCCTCCTGAAGTCAAACTCAAATGACTACAGATTGTGGGTGCCACAAGCAAATGGAGGTCTGGCTCTACCATGAAGCTGTTCCCCAAGTCCGTCACTCTCACCATTCAGCGGTCTACTGGCTCCCTGCTGGAGAGCGGTCCCATCTCACCCTGCTAGGTGTCATCAGTCCCATTCCTTCCCAGAAGGACTTGCGCAGTGAGGTCCTGCAGTCTCAGTTTCATTACCACTGCCTTACAGGCTCTTGCAGCCGTCAGCTCACACCTCCTACACTCCCAGCAAGCTCTATCAGCAGCATCACTCAGAGGGAGGGTTTCCTTTCCTTTGGGCCCTCGTTACTTTCATATGTTATGGGCAAACCTGGTTGCTTGCTCTGATTGCTGCAACGTCTCTAGAGCTCTGACCTGCTCAGAATACAGAGCTTGTACGGAAGGCAGCTCCAACTGCTACTGCAACACAATCAGTACAGTAGCCTCTAATGACCAAAAAGGGAAACTTCACGTTGCTCAGGCAAAATTCATGAAGTATCTGGTTTTTTTTGCACCAAAAGCAGCCCAAAAGTGTAGAACTTCCTATAGTGTGAATGTTAGTAAAATTGCATCAGGACACCTGGGGAAGTAGAGGAGAACTGCAGGGATACTTACAGTTGGAGAAAAATAGATACAGATTTTTTTTTATCCATTTCACAGATGAGCCACAGAGAAATTAAGTAGCTTCTTCAGGAGCCGGCAGTGAGTAATTGGCCAAATATGGAATAAAACCCCAGAGTCTTGGCACCTCACTCTGTTACTATGTGCACTATATGCCCTCCTTTATTTGACTCCTTTATAAGCCCTTTAGTATTTCTTCACAGGATGAATGTGAAAGGCTTGTTGTAAAAAATGGGAATATCACCTGCACTTCAGTGTGTGGTGCTCATTTAAGAATGGCTTCAGCCTCCTGAATAATTAATATATCTGAATATTTCATGTTAGAATGAAATGCTAAAGTTAACTGTAGAACAAGTAATTGAGACCAGAAAAAATTGCTACTTTGAAGATTATTTTAAACCTTAGAAAAGTAGTAATTTGGAAATAAAACTCAGAGTTCATTTTACAGTATCAGTACAGTTCAATTTCACTTTTAATTAGGAAAAAATAATTTATTTTTGGAAGTTGGCTGGACTAAGTAATAGAAAAGGCTTTAATTGTCATTTTTTTTCCTGTTGCAGCTCCCAGACAGCCGTATAATGGATTACTATGAAAAATACAGGCCTAGAATGAATGAGCTGGAAGCATTTAATATGGTAAAAAAAAAAATCAAAGGATTAAAAACATTACTTTGTATATGTGGGCAAGTCTAGAATAGAGCCCTATTAAATTTTACATGGGGGTGGACCATTGTATGATGTGATATGCTGTCTACAAAAAAAAAACCTCACGTTTTGAGCATATCCTATTCCAGAACTATATTAGGTGTCAGTCAAATAATAAAGCAAACACATGGAAGAGTCCTTTTCAAGGGGGATTTACTGTGAAGAAAGAAGTATCAGAATCTCTTTGAACCCAGATTGGTCTCCAGGCACTTATTTAATAAAAATACATTTTATTAAAGTTCATTATTTCCCATTTTAAAAGCTTTGTGCCTCCTGTATGATTTGCTTGTTGACTAATGCCTCAAGCCAACCAAATAGCATAGTTTCCTTGATCTTTCACTGACTTTTGATCTTAACTAGACTGATTTTTCTGAAGACGTTCAATGGATGGGGAAGAATTGGGAAGTTATCAGTTGTGCGACTCATTTATGAGGAAATGATTCTTATTCTAAGAAATTATTTCTGGTGAAATGAGTAGCCATTTAATAATCTGTTGGCTACCTTTCTAGAGGTTTAATATCATCTAATCTTTCTTTCAGTTGAAAGTTGTTCTGGCTCCCTGTATAGAAATGTTGATACTCCTGGATCGTCTTTGCTACCTCAAAGAGCAGGTATGTTCACATTATAATTTATTAAACCTAAAGGCTGTATTAGTCAGCTGGGAGTGTTAGCCAAATTATTCACTGAGCAACAGACTCCCTATTGCAGAATTACTATTCTCATCATATTTACAAGTTTTAAGTGTTCATTCCATCTCTGTCTAAACATATGCCCAACAGATGTTTTTATTTTCAGCAATGCTACAACAATAAAGTTTATGTTCTTTTAATTGTATGGTAATTACTAGTCAGCAGACGGTAAAAAAAAATACTACTAATCTCATTTCTGTACTATGCACTGAGAAATTTAGTCATTAAAATAAGTACTGAAAGTGCTACAGAAACATTTCCCTATGTACATATTATAGTTTTCAAGTAGTAATAATGGATAGCCTCATCTAGTGTTCATTGATCTCATCATGAGCATTTCCACATACTTCATTGGACTTTGGATTAGGTAAATAATGTACATGGGCTATTTTTATACCTACCTAATACATAAAATGAAATCAGCTTTTTGCAAGCAAATAATCAACTGACAGGCATGTAAGTAACATAGCAGGTCTGAAGAGGCCAAATTTAAATCTGGTATACAGAAAGAAGGTGCTGCTACATTAACTTTAATTTGAATTTCACCCTCCTAGTCTAAGAACTTGGCTGATTAACTCAGAAGTAACAATCACACTTAGGCTGTAGTAGTAAAACACTTTCTATACAAAAGTAATTTGTTACAAAGAAATGGTGTGTCTTTTCAGTTTCTGTTATAAGCTATGGTCAAAATAATTTTTTCATATTAAACACGTTCATCTGAACAGCTCCGTTTTTCCACTATAAAACTTTCATTTTAACAGCTTTATTTTATCATAAGTAAATCTTTGCTTTATTCTCTTCCATAGAGCACTTGGAACAAATGAGTTGTAATAAATGTTTGCTTTTGTCCTAACTGGTATTTTTACAGAGAGAGGCAATTTTGAAATATTTAAATAATGATGTATTTTTCCCAAATGCCAACAAGCAATAGATCACATGGAGATCTGTCTGATTTCCAAAACAGGAGATTAGACCTGCTGCATTTAACACTGATTTACTTATAAATGTAATACTTAATCTGGCATGAGGAGACTCCAAATCTGTGCTTTTTCTAGAGAAGAAAAAAAATCCCAAATGATGGAAGCCATATAAAATGGTAGGGCTATATCCAAAGTGCCTTGTTCATGTGGGTAGTAGTACTCGTGAATAAAATGAGAAGGATTTGTCCCTTTACATTTTTGCTTATAATTATAAAATAAGGGATCTGTGTTCAGAATGGGTGGTAGACTCTCACATGAGAACATCTAAGAAATAATGCAATGACTATGAGCCACAGATTGTTTTATTTTTCATACTCATTTTTGTCAGTTCACAACAAAGCTGCCAGTAAGTTTAGCAGTGAGTAACTGCTTTTCCTGCTTTGCATAAAAGTCACATTTTCACTTTTTTGCATTTTATGCTTTAAAATTTGGATTAATTCCCATATTTTAGCTTTTAAGTCAAACACATTTTAATGTACTTTAATCATATATCATTTTACAGGACAACATTGCCTGGTCTGGACTGGTGAAGCTATTTGATCCTGTGAAATCCCCCAGATGCTATGCAGTTATTGCTCTGAAGAAACAGCAGTGATTTAAAGTTGAAGCAAATTGTAGATAGGTTTAAAGCTGCCAACTTGATATCATTACTACCTTTTAACCTCACTTTTATCATTTTAAGTTATTATCCGAGTACCAGGGTACTGTATATTCCACAGTTGTTTTGTTTTTACCTGAAAAAATAAAGCATTGAATGCATATATGAATTATTTGGAAATATATCAAAAGCAAAGCCGTATCAAAGATATTTTAAATGTCACTATTACTTTACTAAGATACAGTTAAGAATTAATTTTCACAGAAAAAAATAGGGATATATATCCTACAATTAAATTTCTTTTAGCAAAATTGACTTTAGTGTTTTATCCATTTTTTGTTGTTGTTGTTGTTATTACAGGTCTGATATACGGAGCAGTGTAATTTTCTTGTTAACTGAGTGCTAATCAGATTGTAGTGTAGTTTAGAGTTGACTTCACTAGCACAGGTACTAGAAGTAGTCAGGCACAATAGCATGAAACTTTTTTAGCAGGATAGATTTGCCCACCTGAAGACCTGTGCTGTCATAGCTAGACTGCTTCTGATATGCAAGCTAGCAGGCATCTCTGCACTACACCATAGTCTGTGTTGTAGACATACTTCACATCTGAAACCCAAACTTCAGTGAAATCAATATGGGTTTTGCCAAAAATGTGGCAGAATTTAAGATAATGCTCTTAGGTCTGGCATGAAATGAATGATGATTCGGTGAATCTGTGCTAAAATGGAAGGTGTAAAATCCTTATTTTTCTTTGTTAATTGTAGAATTTTCCACATTAGTTACCATAGTAACTTGTATGTTATGCTTTCTTGCTAGCCATTTAACTAGGGACCTACCAAAATCATGGTAGAATGCCGCATTTTTGACAGGTGCCCTGAGGAAAAAAAAACAGCTTACCAAATGCTGGGGGATCACACTTTGCCTGTGAAAATAGCTGTCAGCCCTGCAGTCTGCCCACCATATTGGCCAGCAGCCAACAAGCTTGGTAGATCCTTAGGTATAACATAGAACAGATAAAAGAGAAGCTATCAAATCGGTAGCTTACAATACTTTCTTCTAATTTAAGTTCCTGGACATTTTGGAACCATTGATATAGTGTGCATTATCAGTTCTGTATGTTTTTAACACTCTTTTCATAGTTTCATAGTTGTTAGGGGCTGTAAGGGACCTTACAGATCAACGGGTCCAGGCCCCCTGCACTTGGGCAGGATAGATCACTAGGGTCAGATGGGCATCAAGACACTTTTTGAAGATCGCCAGGGTGGGTGACTACAGCAAGGAAATAATGTAGTAGAGAATGAGGATTGGAGATGGACTGAAAAAGAATTGGGACTAAAAAGGTACTAATTTTCACTCACAGCACCAAATACAGTGACACTGAGTGTATTTGCTGGGGTTGAAAGTAAGTAACTTCTGTTTTGATATGCAAATATTGTCTTAATTTGTTAATTAGGCATATATTCCCAAGCCCAGTCAGCCGAAGGAAAATAAGAAGTCTCCTCCTAGCAAAATGCGTCTGTTTTGTACTATACATTTGGAAGTAATGTAAAGCAGATATGGTAAGACTTTTGATTTTTAACATATGACTCTCAGTCTGGATGTGATCTCTATTAGATTGGGGGATCCAGGGTGAGCATTTGCTTGCTCCCAAAAGTTCCAGTCCTCAGGGCAGCTGACCACCTGCAGTTCTCACAGAAGTTAATGGGAGTTGCAGATGTTCTGAACCTCTCAGAAGTGAGACCAGAAAGACAAACTGGAGCATTCCACACAAAAGATTGTATGGAGAACATTAAGCAGACTAATGAATTGGTTGTTTCCCTCTCCATAGGGGGGAGAGAAACTTTTCTTCACTTTCCTGTAGCTGGCAGTAAATAGCCAATGGTGTATATCCAGCTCATTGATGTAATTCTACAAAATAAGTGTGCTGTAAGTTACTACGTTGCACCAATATGCAATGACGAGTCCCATGCAACATCACGATGTTTTGTCATGATGAATACATTAGTTTAGCAGACTGTCAGAATACACTTATTTTGGTGCTGCGCGTGACTCATTTTAATGAGATCATGTACTAAAAAAATGTCAAATATGATGCCCAAATAATAAAACCACAAATGTTCAGTGCCTTATATTCAAAACCAATGCTCAAAATACCTCAGTTAAATCAATGAATATGAGACTCAACGAGTTCTTCCTGACTCGGTGTGAAAAGTCAAAACTGAACAATGAATATAAATGGTATAGTTATTTTTGAATATGACTGTTGTGTAATTCTATATAAATTCCACAAATAGCTACTCATATTTCAAAACATTATAAAATAATAGGCATCAAGTCTAGAATTAGTCTAACTGTCGCCCCTTTTCCGCCCCTCCCATAGGTGTAAAAAAAATGGTTGGCTGCTCTGTCAACTTCGATTTTTCAGAGATCATGTCTGGAGAAAAGGACAGAGGCAATGTGCTTCTTAGAATTAATAACTCTCTATTAAGAGGTTTGTATCTTTAGTTTGCATTCAGCAAGGTCAGCTAAAGACTGCTGTCAGTGTAGTTTTTAAGCTTCAAATACCTGCATGTCCAAGACGGAAAAATGCCATGGCTACTGCCAGGGATTCTGCCATGATGTAAACAGTATCTTAAATAGGATGAAGTTTAAAAAAAAATCTATTACTGAAAATTCTGTACACCATCCAGAAATACACAGAGCATTGCAGCCCAACCACTTCTGCATCTTATTTGTAGCAGTGAGTTCTAGCTCTGTGGTGTCTATGGGCTTCCTCATGACCAGGGATCCTGGTTTTCTCTGTTTAAAAATGGCAAATTCTCTGATTAGGAAAAAAAAAAAGCAAAATCTCTGCCTTGAAAAACCAAAATCTGCATTTTTCCAGTATTAAAATGAAATGCTATTTTATTTCATAGATTTCATAGACATTAGGGCTGGAAGGGACCTCCGAAGATCATCGAGTCCAGCCCCCTGGCCAAAGGGCAGGAAGTCAGTTGAGGTCATAGGATCCCAGCAAGATAAGCATCCAATTTACTCTTGAACGTGTTCAAAGTAGGTGCTTGAACCACCTCCGATGGCAGGCTGTTCCAGACCTTGGGGGCTCAGACAGTAAAGAAATTCTTCCTTATGTCCAGCCTGAAACAGTCTTGAAGTAGTTTATGACCGTTCAACCTCGTCATCCCTTGGGGTGCTCTGGTGAATAAACGTTCCACCAGATCCTGGTGGTCACCCCTGATAAACTTATAGGTGTCCATCAGATCACCCCTGAGCCTGTGCTTTTCCAGGCTAAAGAGCCCCATGGCTCTTCTATATAGGTATCACTTGAACACAATGTTTTATTGATATATTTACAATTTTAAAGCAGTTTACAAGCTAACCAGTGCCTCAATCACTATAATAAAATAATTCTAAATATATATATCAATTTTGGCATTTAACTTTGGGGGTTTTATCATGAAAAATCTGAGCTGCCCATGCCCCCTTTCCTCACCAGGACACAGGTCCAGCTGTAGCTGTCCCACCAACTGCTTTGTGGTGCTGAGCAGCCCTGATATGTTGGTGCCCTGCCCATGCAATTGCCCCTCACTACCAAGCCACATCCCATCACCCCTTCTTGTGCCCCTCATTCCTCACCCACAGTCCCAGTGCCGCTCACTCCCAACCCACAGCCCATCCCCACCCCTGCTGGTGCCCTTCACTCCCCCACAACAGCCCCCTGGCCCTGCCAGTGCCCCTCACTCCCAAGCCACAGCCTCCCCAGCCCCACTGGTGCCCCTCACTTCCCACCCCCAACCCCTGCTGATGTCCCAGCCTCCGCTCTGCCCAACTTCCCCCTTCACTATGGGGGCCTCAATTCCCATCCCCCAGACTTACCTGTGGGAAGCTGCAGGGAGCAACTCTCCAAGCTGCCTGGCTGCCACTTGTATGTGTGTGCATGCACATGCATGTGGTGCCCCGTGCCTGATTGCCCTCCTCCCTCTCCCTCCAGCCCCTAGCAGGCTAGAACTCTGCCAGCCTACAAAGGAAAACCCATCATTTCCCACATTTTCCCTTTAAAAAGAGAAAATCCTTGGTTTTCTTCTTAAAATGAGAAAATCCAGGTTTTACCATGTTTTTCCATGGCAAATGGAAAACTGGGATCCCTGCTCGTGACACATCACCTCAAAAACTGAACAATGTAGCAATGTTATAGATTAAGTTTCTAGATATTTTTAGGTCTAGTCTTTTACTGTCTGCTCTATTGAAAGCCATCATTTTCCCCATCCCAGCCAATGACTAGGTTTTTGACAGGAGGGTGCTTTTCACCTACCTCTTGACAGAGTGAAAATAGTGAGCTTAAAGCTCTGTCTGTCTTGAAAAGTGTTGATGGTCATTTCCGATGGACATCCAGAATCTGTTTCAGCGTTTCAGGTCTACTACATTTAGCTTCTGTTTCAAAGCCCAGCTCTTTACTTTGCAGGATCCTGTTTGTGTGCCCTTCCCCTAACAACGATCTATGACTATTCTATCAAATCACAGAAGGCAACAGTAATAAAAGTCCCATTCATTCAAGAGCACCAGTGAGTTGAGATTTTTTTCCTTGAAATCAGTGCCGTTGATATTGAAGCACAGACACTGACTTCCCTCTGGGAGCTGTCCCAGGATTCCTAAAACCAACCCAGAAAATTACTATTTGCTTTGCTTTTAGTCCCAACATTGCTCCATCCTCAGACTGTATCCAGCCCACTGACTGAAAGGGGTCAACATTTTTGTGGCGATTCTGGCACTACCCACCCTACATTCTTGGAACAGGAAGTTTCACCGCCATGTTGAAAGGCTTCTGACAGCCATAACTAAACTGTTCTCTTCCTCTTTTGTCAACCTCTTTTCCTTCTTTTCAGCAACATGGACTGGATTCACTTCAGTCCAGTGCATCCTAGAGACAGACTGCATCTACACGAGACATTGACTGCACAGTGTTTACTGAGACTACTATGCAGTAGCGTTGCATCACGGTTTCTATCACGTGCCACTACTGTGCAGTTGTGTCAGCATCTTGTGTACACATGGCCACAGTCATTGAGGGTACTGCTATACAATCCCTGCCCCTTTATCCCCTTCTTTTCAGAGACCCTCTTCACAAAGACTTTATGAGGAGAAAGAGTATAACTCCGACTTCATTTTGCAGGCATAAAGGAAGCTCTACAGGTGTTCTTGATTCTCAGCTCAGCTTTGTGAAGAATAAATTTTAGCAATATATATAGCTACTTTCCAGTCAATTCCCAGCTGTTGCTAACTTCTTTAAAGCTATGTGCCCCCTGCTAGCTTTTTTCCCA